CCTTTAGCAAAACGAAGTAGAAATATGGTACCGTATCTCTAGCCACGGTGAATATATTAACTGCTGTAAAAATTATTTCTATAGGCCTACAATAATGAGTTGTTAATATATTTACATACCCTCACTAACTAAACTACACTTCTGCCTATATCCCATCTCCTCCCGACCTCAGACCCCGCTTACCCTTAATTATCTTAACCCCTCTGTATTTAAGATACAGTATACTATTAGTACATTACATTATTTAAATTGCCACATGCAAATCAAAGTACCTCCTTATCCACCACTCTCTCCCCCACAACCTACCCCAACCCCACCGCCTTCACCCACCGCCTTCCCCCACCACCAGCATCTCGGTAGTGGATATACAATGGTTTTTCCATCCTAAAAAACCACTTTCTTCAAACTTGGTCAAAATTACAATCATGTAATTAACTAACAGTAGATATACAGTTGTTATATGCTGAAAAAATATATATTATTGAATGCATTTTTGTTGGCTGAGGGTAGATTGGCTTGTCAAACTTTACTGTATGTGTTCCTTACTTTATTATTATTTTTTGTTTTTTTCGTAGCATCAGTTTACTGTAATGAGAGGCCATCAACAGAATCATTGATCAAATGGGATCGTCTGCCTGTACCAAAGAATACAAAGAAAGATAGGTGGGATGAGAAACATTCACTTTTTGGTGAAAATGATTGTAAAGATGTTCTAGGAGATGGATCATACCAATTAAAGAGAAACATCAAGGTTGGACCATTTTGGCTGCGTGGTTGGCGTGGCAATGAGATGCAGAGATTGATCAGGAAAAGGAAGGCAATTGGACCTACTTTGGGACCTAAAGCCCATGAAGATATCCGCAAGAGGATAAAGTATTTGTACAAACGATTCAATAAATATGCAAGGAAAGGCCAGATGTGGGATTGATTTTGATGTTGTGAACAGAGAAAGGTTCTGATGCTATTGATCTTCTGGACAAGAGTCCCAAGTCTCACGAGTCGCAGGAGACTCCCGGAAATCAGGACGACCTCCGACTTTCCAGAAAACAAGCAAGATTCTCCCAGAAAATAACTCATCTCTTACAAATTCACAATATCTGCATGTCTCTTGGACATCATTGCCATTGGTTATGACCATGCACAGCAAAATAGAATTATTAAGATGTGTTTAAAGAAAACTCATTTGAACAGATGTCACAGAAGTGGCTTGTTCAAACTTGTGACCCCTGCCTAGATTTACTATCGCCAGTGCCATAACCAAGGATCTATTCCGCCACCATCTTTTTAACGGCAATATCAAGAATATGATTTCTAAATTAAAAAACAATTAAAAAAAAATCAATAAAAAAAAAAAAGTAATCTGGAATCTGGTGGTGCTGTTATTACAAGTATTATGTCAATTGTCATTCATAATCATATTGAACAACACCACTTTGGGAATATCATCATCGAGAATGAATATCATCAAGAATATGCCACAGTCATTTTGATCAGAAATCTCTTTTATTATCAGTCACAGATCTCCCAAGTTCCTAGATTTTGAAGGAGTATCCCAAAAAATATAATGTTCATTGTGAAAAGTATGAAATACTGTACCTTCCAAGAGTTTATATTCCAAAACTAAACAACATTTTCTTCTTTCAAATATTAGATTACAGTACTTACATACAGTAGAACCCCTATTAAGAGGATACCTTTGGGACCAAGAAAGGTGTCCCCTTAATAGGGGTGTCCCCTATAGTGGTACCCCTATTCAGGGGACATAAACCAAAAACATGAAATTGTCCCCTTATTAATTCATGTCACTTTGTCATGAATTGAAATAACCTGCTTTAAATAGGCATCATATCTTTGATACTGTAATACTACCAAGTGGCCCAGTACTGCTAGTTGCCTAGTAACAGTGAATCTGTGAGAAACGTGTTTTGTTTCATTGTCTTTTACCACACACACATAAAATATAAATTAATCAACGATAAATATTACAATTGAAATTACATTTTATAAAACATAAATTTCAGACCTCGAATCAATCCAAAGGAAGGCATTGGGTATCGTGTCACCTGGCACTCCGTATGAAACAGCCCTTAACGTGCATACTATTCCAACACTCGCTGATTGTGGCCTCTCACTTTGTAAGAACTACCTTAGAAAATTAAATTCGCCTTCCCATAGATTGCATTCCCTTCCACCGTACCCCTTAAAAACTACAATGTTAGAAACAATCGTGAATTTGTTCTTCCTAAAGTAATCACAGAACGTTTTATTACTATACAGGGAGTTTTTCAAAGATGGTAGGCCTAAAAAGTATTGTATTGTTAACCTTCAATCATCATTTATATTGTCATGATTGCCATGATTGCAATAAAGTGGATTTTGAGACCTCTGCATTCCTGTCTTGATTGGTCATGTAGGCCAAAATCTGATAAATATACTCAAGGCTACAATGTAGCCATTCAGTTGCTCCAATTGATATTTACAAAATTGTGCATTTTCAAAAGAAATATAAAATATGTACAGATGAATAATATTTTCTAAATTTTGTCAACAGATTATAAACACTACCTCCTTTGGCAACAAAAATTGAAATCAATATTACTATACAGTATTATGGAATTTTCAAAATCAAAGTGCTATTGGAAGTATTTATTGTGATTGTTGTTGCAATAAAGACTCATGATTTGTTTCATTGATCTTAATATATATATATATATATATATATATGTATATATATGTATATA